CAGGGGGAATGTTATGCCAGTACTTTTATTCAAGCTTCATTCTGGATTAAAAGTCGTTATGTTGATGGTGTATGTTTTACTTCATTCTGTGTTTTTGTTTTAGGTGATGTAATATGTTTTTGATAAAAATGTCCTTTAGGATTCAGTAGCATTTCTTTAGAAGTTTTTTGTACGGTATTTACGTTAAGTATTTTAAATAAACTTTTCACAAATAAATAAACTTGACTAACTAAGCTTTTCTATTTTATTTTTGGCCCAATGCTTGAAATAACCTCTTATATTTTATTAAAAGCCCATTTATAAACTTACTAAATTAACTATTTCATAAATTAAAGAAATGCCTGAGTCCTATATCCTATCGATTTAGACAAATAATTGTATCAGAGTGATTGCACAATTGCATCTGCTTCTTTATCAGCCCAGTTGGCGTTATCAACCAACGCTTCGAGTCCTTTATGGAAGCTACGACCCAGAATCTGTTGATCTCTTTCACTTACACGGGTTTCCCAAAATGTTTTGAGCTCAGCTGCAACGCTGTGATCTGCACCAGCCCCCACTAGACTGACGCACCGTCCTACCATCATTCCTGGAAGCGTCTTGATTATGAGATCCCACCTTTTCATAATTTCTCGAGCATAGTCATTTACCAAGTAGCTCTTGCGCATGATACCTGCAAGCACATATATTGAGTCCTGGACTTTGACTTTATCCGAAAAGCAGTAGTCGAAGAGTTCCGAAACAGAAATGGAATTAGGGCAGTCGGCTGAGAGACACGCTAAATATCGACCCCGTTCCACGGCGTCCGTTGAGTTAGCAATCAAGCCCTTGACTTCGTCTAGTGCTGCCAAACCGCCTTCTCTGACATGCACTGTATACACGGCTCCGTGAAGGTCAGCTGGAATGGGCACCTTTTCGCAGTTTACGTAAATTTGGCGTGCAACTTCCAGAGTTTTCGGCTCCTTAGCGACGACAAGCCGTGTGAAGAGCAAGGAGCGAAGCTGAGCAATGTTTTGCGCCTCATCTTCTTGTGGAGTGTAGCCCACGCGTTGCATGGCATGGATATAGAGGGAGTGGCAGTATTTATCAAGCTTTTCCAAAGCCAACGTACCACGAGTGGAAAGAATTTGGCGCACACTTCCCTCAAACTCCGCGATAGCTGACCACACCGCGTACTCATCCTCATGCTCGGCGAATCCCTTTACAAGTTCCACTACCAAGGCTGATGGGACATAGCCACCACGTGCGAATGCATGGTAGTCCATCACGATGCCTAGACGATCAATCCCTGGCAATGTTTTATTCAGTAGTGCAGGCTTCAGAGCGTCCAAGAGTGTCTCATCGTATAGCACACGACAGAAGCATGTTTGGCGGCTGTTAGCCTTAATCCAACTGGAGGTCTTAACGGTTATTCGCGCGGAACGCTGGTCGATGAGCACTTGCTTTTCTTTAGGCTCGTCGGGAGTACGAATAAGCAATGGAACCTTCCAAATGGTGTCGTTCTCTTCCGTCGCAGCTGTTCCTGTTGTCCAAAAGCGATTTTGGACGATTTCGAGGGTCATGATGGAGCCATCTGCAGTCGTGTTGCCATCAAGCTTCTTTACGCTTAGGTAGGGAAACCCCTGCCTGCCAGTCCAAAATTCCATGATTGGAGCCAAGTTCATGCCGGCCCCCTCACCAAGAAACCTCCACAGATCTACTGTGTGCGCGTTGCCATACTTAAAATGGCGAATATAGGAGGAAATACCACGCTGAAACGCATCTTCACCGATGTAATCAATAATCATCCGTACGATACTTCCACCCTTGGAGTAACTGATGACGTCAAAAATATCATCAATCTCCTGGGCGTTGTTCACTTCCACTTCGACAGGATGCGAACTCTGCATCGCATCGAGCTTCATCGCAGAGCTACTATCTGTCTGAACAAACTGCGTGAATATGTTCCACTCCGGGAAAAGTTTGTTAACCGCCATATACTGCATGAAAGTGGCAAAAGCCTCGTTCAGCCAAAGCTCATTCCACCACTCCATCGTAACCAGGTTACCAAACCACTGGTGGGCGATTTCGTGGCAAACGACGATAGCTACCCGTTGCCGATGTTCTGAGCTGGAATGCTCGTCGCAGAGCAGGGCTGACTCGCGATACGTGATGAGACCCCAGTTTTCCATCGCCCCCGCCGCGAAATCAGGAATCGCGACAAGATCCATCTTTTTCAAAAGGTAGCCTTGGTTGAAAAAGGTTTCGTAGAAATGCAGCACGCGCACGGAAACGTCTAGCGCGAACTGCGCTTGTGCGGACTTGCTCATTGGCATGTACACTGACACGATAGTTTCCTGCTCGGGTGTCATTGGCAGACGCACTGTGGTGTGGATCGAATCCAACTCGCCTATTGTCCACGCGACGAGATAGGTCGACATCTTAGGGGTCGGCGCGAAGGTGTACGTTGTGGTGGGCACCTGAATCCCTTCACCAGAAACAGGTTCACGACTGAGCTCGTGCATGTTTGAGAGGCACACCATGTGCGACGGCGCGGTGATGGTGATGTGAAACACCGCCTTGTGGGCGGGCTCATCCCAGCACGGGAAGGCGCGTCGCGCGTCAACAGCCTCGAACTGCGTCGTCCCCAGGTACACGTCACGACCATCCGCGGCCTTGTACTTGCTGCGGTAGAATCCCACCAGCTTATCGCTGATCTCGCCGGTGTAATGAATAGAAAGGTAGGCGACCTCGCCGGCACGCAGCGCAGCCACGTCGAGGGGAATGGTCGCCACCCCATTCTGCTCATCCATAGATATATTGTCAACCTGGATCTGTTGCTCTGCACCACCCTCTGGTTGCACTTTTTGAAAGGTCACCTTGACAAAGGTGAGGTCCACCGCGTTGAGCTTGATGGTGGACACATCCTCTGTGGCGTGCACGTGGATCTTGACGCTACCCTTAAAGGTAAAGTCATCGAAGTTGGGAACGATATGGAGCCAGTACTCAGAGGGGTAAATACCTTCGGGTAGCACATTGCGACTTGTCTTTGCGGCAATGTTGGAATTGTTACCAGATGACATGATCAGTTCTGAAGGGAAATATAGAAAATGTAAGCAAACGGTAGCTAAAAGTAAAACTACGATTAAAGGGTACCTTTTATAGCCAGAAAAATAACTTAGATACTTCGTTGTTATTTTAACCCCTTTTATATACGGGCAGCCTGCAATGTATATATTATCTAAAGAAGACAACTCAAAAGAAACTAATATATGTATAACTGCTGATATCGCTTGAAGGTGGACAATTCTATTTTTATTTTCAGGGAGAAAATAAAAAAGATGTAATATTTTTTAAATACGCCTTTTTCGTTTTGAAGGTTTACTGTTTTTCATTGAATATCATCAAACCTCAATTCGACTATTTAGACAGAAGGATAGACCAGCTCTAGTAGATGCGCAGAAAACGCCTTCAGGCATTGTAATAGAAATGAAAGGGAATAATGGGGGAGGGTTATATATATATATATATTGGAGTGGGTAGTTTCCATCTCTGAAACAACACCTGCAAGGTAGATTCATGTTAGGAGGCGAAGAATCGTCTCAGGACTGCACCCAGATGAGATCATCGCTGGGGCGACCCGTGCAATTGAAAGTCCATGCTCCTCGCCAAGTCGTTTCAATACGTTCACCAGCAAATCATTTTGGTAATTCATATCACTTGTTCCTTCCTCTTCGGAATGCAAGCAATACATTAGGGAAATAGTTGAGTCTAGTATATTCTCTCGCGCGAGTGAAATAAAACCTTTGCAAGATCTAGAGCTGCTAGGGTCATCACTTCTTCGGCAAAATGAAACCTTCAGCGAAGCATCTGCGTTTTTTTCGAATTTTTCAACTTGATGCGTTCGTATGCTACGAATGTAGCCCATAAGGATGGTAATGAACTCATTCATGACGGACTGAGAGCAATGAACCAGTTCATTTAAGGCCGTTACTGTAACAGATTCCAAACGCATAGTATCAAGCACATTGTGAAAATGGTCATCGCTGCTGTCCATTTTGTTGCTTTGTGCGATTACCACCGTAGAGTTCGTGCAGGCAAGCATGGCCAAGCCTAAGCAGATTTGCTTAACAGAGCGCTTTGGGCAGTCACACAAAGACTGATACTGTAAGTGCAATGCTTCCGATAGATCTTTTTTGATATTAAGTAATTCAGTAAATTTCAATTGCCGTAATATACTCGCGATGGCTATGAGGCGAATATAACGGCAGGTCGGCGGCGCATGATCTGCCAGCGTGCAAACCTCCTGCCAGTCACCGCAAACCGCGGCCCACAGCGCCAGCGATTCGAGAACGTCATCACGATCTGCTGTTGGCACTGAGATACCGCGCTGTTGAGGCGTAGAGTCGCGAGCAACTGAGTTCTTCACATCCGTGGAATGTGTGGGAAGGTACTCTGCCGCTTCGGGGATACCTAACGCATGATGGACGCATCTCACCGCAACTCGATATGTCTTTCCATCAAGAGAGGGCTCATTTAAATTATCGACGAAGATATGACCTGATCGCACCAAGAGAAGAGTCTTCGCTATTGACCATTCGGTAAAAGTATTTTTAAGGTTTGGTGAAAGTTCGTTGTAGAACTGCATCGCTTGTGACCAAAGTCCAACTTCCCTAAATGCCATGATTACATGATTATAGATAATAGGCTGACGTTTATCTTCTTCGGAAAGATGTATTCCTTGAGGGAGTGCTAGACATGCCTGAGCTTTTTCACTGAGTCGTATGCCTAAATTTGATTTTTCCTCTGTAGACGTGGTTCCCTTGGGGTCCTTGATACGGGTTTCCTCTTTAGGGCTGTGTGGCGGCTGAATCAAGAGGTTATCAGCACCATAGAATAGCTGAAGCACCTCAACCGGACGTCCAGACAGCCTGAGAAATGCCATTAAACCACCAAGTGGGATACGCCTGATCCCATGACGAGATCCCAAAGGCTCTCTTGCTGGCGTTGAAACAGCCTGATTGTAATGCAGAACCAAGCAATAGGCCTCACGCCATGCTGTTGGCGGGCACACAGACAGGAAGGTTTCGATAATGCAACGTGGGATGTGTTCAGGATGGCGTAGAGGAGACTGGGTTAGATACCCCTCAATTTTATCCGAGTCGATTTTGATTCCATTCTCCTCCGTTTTGTAAAATGGAATCGCGATACCCTTTTTATTTTTTTCAACTTCCTCCTCGAAAAGTCTCATAAACGACAGTAGCCAATTTTTCATAGTCACATCGTTGCCTTTTGTCACACGGCGCCTGTGTAACAGTGCCTCCAGGAGCCCCTGAAGCCATCGAGGCTGCAGTTTCTTAATAGCTTCACCACTCTTTTGCTGGCGAATATTTCGGTCTGTACTCCTGCCCTTTCTGAGGGATACGCTTCCTCCAAATGATGGGATATTATTACCATTATTACCCTCATAGTTGATTGTCATCGAGTCGCCTTCGACTGGTTTCGAAGTCTCAGGGCTTGCAAGTTGCATTTCTCCAGCCAAAGCTTCCCGCGCTGACTTAAGTAGCACAGACAACGGTACACCATCCGCTAGTTCCCAAGCACGCTGGCCCCCATCCCTGGATAGTTGTGCGACACGATTGACGACGAAAGCAAATCCTCTGCCATCACCATTATCAGCCATTTCACAAAGCCGCAATGCTTCTGCAGGGTGACGGGCCCCCGCCATCCCCACTGCACAGTACAATTGCATTTTCATTAATTCTGCATCCTCCTTGTTATCCTCCTTTTCATCTTCCGTTTGATTTCTTACTTTGCTGCTGGAGGTGCCTGTTTTGTGGTCACGCCCCCTATTCGTTGTTCTAGAGGTGATATGATATAGCATTCTTCGTTCTCTCAGAGCCGCTTCGGCCTCACGCAGCAGCAGAGACGGTAAATCTTTATCCATTCGTGCCATCTGTGGGCACTGGAGCGGATGGCGGAGGTGGTGTAGGCTGAGTGAGATTCTGAAGATCCTGGCCTCCACGAGGCATTGCACCTGCTCTAGCATCAGCGATTGCTGTTCTGCTGCGGCGGATGGGATAGGATCGTATAGGTAGACCTGACTTGCTTTTGTAAACAATTCTAGTACCTTTTCCATAATAATCATTTTTTCACGCCGTGAGCTATGTTTCATTAGTTCCCATCGAACTTGACGTAACACATTGAGACTGTCAGGGTGAAGTTGAAATCCACGGGACCCAAAGAGATGGGCTTGAGCTACAGTTTCGTACAAAAAAAGCCGTTCAGACAAGGATGGGAAAGATCGAACTGACGGAATGCCAAGAGGACCAGCGGGATGGCCTACTCTGCTGTTAATTCTAGTAGTTGAGTTCGATTGCATTAAGCGATTCCCTGGAAGGTTTGAAGGGACTGAGGCAGATGGCTTGGAATAAAGGGCTGAATACTGACGCAGGGCCTGAAGCCACAAAGCCGCAGTGGTCATAGATGGCATTCGAGATATCAAGAAAACCAAATAGGCTGCTCCTTTCCCTGTTCAAAAAGGAGGAAGAAACGAATACAGAGTGTACCTTGAACACATGTACAGCCTTTTGGAACCGGCCAGACAGACGTGTTGAATGCACTTGATTTTAACCACCACTTGAAGTTACGCTAAAGCCCGAACTGCGGTCGTTGTCAACTTTGTAGTTGTGAAAGCCCGTAAACATACGTATTTCATTAGTTTTTAATAAGCAATACTAGTAAAAAGTAGATATGCCAAACAGAACAAGGGGTGAAGGCGTTCACGGTTTTAATTTTCCACAAAAAGTTACATCATTCACACTCTGTGAAATGACACAATATAGTGATGCTGAGTTTACAATTGGTTGATATTTAGCGTGTTATTTTCCAATCTGAACCTGTCAAGCTCCCAATAAGGAACTCTGAAGTATGTATATGAGTACGACACAACAAGTGTTAGTATATAGGGTGAGACTTAATCATTAATGACTGTGTTGAATCGTCTAACTTTTGTCTTCATACGAGATGTATAACGATCAGCAAGATCCTCAGTTGTATACATGGATTCCAAATTCCCAGGCTGTGGAATAAACTCCCCAGAATGGTACTTTTTTAACATTCGCTCAGCCTCTTCTCGGCTTACAACGCATGTTTCCTCCGTACGGAAAGCATCTTTAGTTCGATGCAACTCATAGAACAATGCTTGAAACGAGGCAGTGCTCCTGTCCGAGTCACCGTTAGCATTGCTTTTCTCTTTCTTTTCGATACTCCCGTGCAGCCGCGGTTCACATTGCTCATTCAGCGGTACTTTTACCCACCAATCATCGCCCAATGCGCGCCCAAGCAGATCTTCTTCTTGGCTGTTAGCTACGAAATCAAACGGCGCGCCATCTGCACGTTTGCCGTGCAACCGCACCGTTAGCCTTTCAGAAGACTTGTCACCATTAGGAATGTTTTCCTCATTAACACAGTCTTTTGATTCGATTAAAACCTCTACCACTGCACGACCACGCCGATTATGTGGAGTACAATAATTGTTATCGCGCCCACAGTAAGAGTTATCTGCACTTACGACTAGAAGACCGCCGGGTTGTCGAACCAAGGCCGGCGTATCTCCTGTTGGCTGATGGCCAGTACAAACAACCTCTATACCACTTGACAGCAGGTAATGGGCTGCCTTCAGGTCAATGTACTGAGGCCCGTTCGTCTGCATGATAGAACCCACAGTTACTGAGAAGGGTATGTACTGCCGTGGGAATACATACAGACGGGCTGCCTCCCCTCTGAGACCACGATTGTTACTCCACTCTTCAAAGCAAGCGTCCTTAAACGCATTAAGTGCACTGAGCCACTCAATGGCATCACGGCCCTCATCGATAAAATTACGCCCCTGCCTTTGTTGAGCTTCGGTTGTGTTGGCACGAATGTCTGGAACAAATCCGACATTATTACCATTTATACCGCCATGCACAAAAAGGACGCTGTCGAACAAAACCGTGGCCAGTACTCCAAGCCGTATATATTCATAATACACACCACCCTGTCGCGCTGCCCTGAAGAAACTTTCGGCGACTTCCTCGTCAGTTATCGTGACTTCTCCCTTGCCAAAGTTGATGTCGACAGTATTTCCGACTTCCATTGATTGCGGCGTCCTCAATGATTGCCCGACAGGACCCTCGTCTCTTTCTCTGGCTTCATGTTCTTTAAGGGCAGCCAACTCCCAGCGGCGATGCTCGAAAGTATTCGGACTTCCCATCTTATAAATCAAGGCCCACTTCAAAAATGATATACGGTCTGCCTTGTGATGAGTCCGATCCCTTTTTTGTTGCGGTGTACCTTGTTTTCCTTGAGAGAAGGGCTTCGAATTAACGGTCGAAGGAGCCGTGGACTCTTCATTTGGAGTTCCATTTGCTACGGTTGGCTGTTTTATCGGTGCTGGAGAGTGAAGTCTGAGATCACAAAGGAATTGAGCGTAGGAAACTGTCGATGACATGTTTGCCCCAGGGGTCCACTCAAGCGGAAACACCATCCTTTCGGCTTCCTCCGGTGCCATCCCCTCTACCTCGTAAATCAGCGGCACCATGGCAATCTTGTTCAGGTCACGGTTACCAAGAATCAGATGCACGCGGTCTGGGTAACGCTGCTTGAAGTCAATGCAAGCCTGCGCAAAGCCGATGTCGAAGCCATTATCAAACGCGTCGCCGCCATAAACGAAATGGCTTTTGTCATCCGTAAACTCCAACTCGACATGCCGCAGATCCAATGGCAAGTGAGCTGCGTGATCCAAGTGTACTTGTGGTTCTCCCTGGACACGCTCCTCAGGTGTATGATAGGGAAAACCACAGCGCAAGGATTCAGAAGACGCCGCAATGGAAATAGTGGGATCATTGGCTTTGTTAAACTCCGCTGAGTGGCTTATGCTAGACTGAAGGTTTCTGCAGATCATAGTGCGTGCAGTCCCCTTTCTTAAACCCCAACGAACACAGGATGTTAGGGATATAAACCGCTGAAAGTATTTCATATCGCCTTCGATGTCCGTAATAAACGAAGCTCGTTGCATGAAGAACCTTCGCGTACATAGTGTCATTAATCCCTTTATTGTTACAGAAGTGACTTCTGCGTATTGGTATCTTAAAGGGTTTTGTAAAGCTAATGTTTGGAGAATGTATACAGGCTTGTGATGCTTACGTTTCGCCTTAAATGCAGAAGCAAACCCATCTATATACGTAGCGCAATGTATGGACGATTAAGCGAAGTGGTCAATGTGTATTTTTTCATTGTCTAGTTTCTCTTTTTATTCAGAAAAGTTTACATAGTAACCCCAAAAACCGTTACAATACAATGCATGGCCCTATTCTCCGTCTTATAAACATAACACGCATCGCTTTCCGGGTTCCACGAACACGATGCCACGCTACAAAATCCGGATCCATTCTTCTGGACAATCACCACGTGCGCGATGTACTTGCGCGGCAGAGACGATTCCCTCGTAAGCCGTTGCACAATTAGATCCGATATATTTGCCACGAGCGTCGGAACTTTATTGTGCTGATACTTCACCTCCGGCATGAAGTGTCGTGCAAGGATCTCTTTGCAGATGACAGAGGCATCATCGGCTAGAGTGAGTTTTTCATCTGCCATTTGTTTCTACCGTAAAGTAATAACGTTTCTATTAATCTATAACTTGATTATTTGAGAAGAATTTAATGTACTCTTCTCAGGTATCGTTTTTTTCCACTTGTCTATGGAGCTTCGATGAAATAAGGAAAACATAGCAGGTAAAATTTCAAGCGTATTTCGTGTACACTCCAATCGTCAAGATCTCATTTTTTTTCTATACGAGGGTTTCGTTTTAACAATCATTTTTCGTAATCCTTTGCGTGTAAAGCAAAAACTTCAATTTCTTTTCGGGCACATTATTTTGATTAAATCTAATACTTTTTCTTAATCTATTGCCATCCTTCGCGCTTTAGAGCAGCTGAGAGCTTGAATGGGTTTAAACCTTCACCACATGCTCACACAGGTACGGTCGAGAATGTTAGGTAAAGGCAAAACAAGTGATTCAAAGGTTACACGTACGCCTTCCTCTCCCCCACAAAAAGTAGCAATAATAACAATACTGCTTAATTACTCATTCTCTGACCTTCACACATGATCACTTGTCTCCGAAACAAGGTTCTCAATGCAGCGTTTCACATAACCTTCCTGACGCGGATCTATTGTCATGGCCTTCTGATAATACATGACCGCTTTGTCAGGCATTCCCATCAACTGCACACACTTAGCTAAAGATATGTAGAGCATTGCCTCATTCGGATACGTCCGGATCAGCTCGAGAAGCTGTGCATGCGCCTCGTCCATTCTTCCGAGAAGCAACAGAACGTCTGCTCGTTGATGTTGCGCCATCAAATTACGAGAGTGGCGCGTGATCGCTTCTGTGTATAAGGTGTATGCCTTTTCAAGATCTTCACGCGCGGCACTGTGGCGATGGAACGTCGCAGCGTAGCGGTTCAGCACGGCCGGAAGCGGATTGATGAGGATGGCTTTCTGGAAGTACTCGCGTGCCCATATAATGTTGCCATCTCGTGCATATTGCTCTCCTAATCCTGCGTAGGCAACGTAGAGATGGCGATCTCGATAAATTGCATTTTTGAAAGCTTCAGCGGCTTCATTTTTTTGATTCAGGTAGAGAAGCTCGTAGCCACATAAATTGTACGCATATGCCATAAAGGGATCCACGAGAATTGCTCGCTCCAGCATTTCAAGAGCCTGTCTGGGTTCCTTCGCGAGACTGTAAGTATTCGCAACGATGCAAAGCGTTATTGCCGAAAATGGTAGTTGCTCCATAAGTGTCTGCGCAAGCGCCGCGAGAGTGCTCTCAGCTTTAAGTTGCCAAAGTGCCGTGCTGTAGAGCACCAATGCGGCGTCATTCAGGCGCCATGGGACCGCTTTGAGCAGCGTTTGAAAGATATTCGCACTGACTTGCATGTCACCGTCATGAAAGAAGGCTAAGGCATGCTGTGTAAGCAGCCAAGCGGAAGTGTCAGCCGGAGCTAAGTTTTGCGGAAAATCATGGATGTAGCGTTGCGTGGCAGCACAGTTGTAAACACCGAGGTGGTAAGTGACGGTGGCAAACGGCATCAAAAATTTCTTCAGGATGTGAGTCGCACCCCTGCCATAGCTAAAGAGCCCATCCCCCGTCCTTCGCTGCTGCGATTCGCTTCCCGTTGCCTCCCGAGTCCCCACGGGCACCTCTACATCCTCCTGCGCCACCTCTTCATGCCCTTCAGAAAATACCGTCAAACAGGCCTCGTGAGGCTTCAACACCGTCTTGATATACTCCTCAAAGGCGCAAAAGAGGAATGGATTGGCCTCGGCAGCTCGTTTAAAGAGGCCGGGGGCGTGGTCAAGGCAGCGATGCTTCGCGCTGACGCCCAGCCAGTACCGCAGCCCAGGAAGATGCTGCTGAATCGCGTGGTAACCTGACGGGGGCAACGCCGAAACGCGTGAGGCGCCCCCCCAGGCATTGGCGCTCAGACCATGCGCCGGCAATCCAGATTCCTCCGCCTCTTGCGCAGCCCCTTTCCCTCTGCCCTGCCATTGCTCCGAGCTCTCTAGAAATCTGGTAGAGATGCGGAGAAGCTCCTCGAGCACCTTTCCTGCCTCGGCATAGCACTGCGTGCGGCAGCAACACACTCCAAAGAGGTATTGGCAATCCCACCGAGGTTGAATATCAACGGGGAGGTGTAAAAGAATGGGTTGACCATCACTGTCATGCTGCAGTGCTGTTCGGGAATCCAGAGGGGTTGCTTTAGAGGAGCCAATATGACCACGGCCTGGAATCATGAAGGAAAAGCGATGTTGTGGTGGACTTCCCGCTGCCGGTGCGGCCGAAGCGGAGGGATTCCCCCCCCCACCGTCGCCTCTAAACGTGGAGCGCTGCACAGGAAGGGGCCCTGCGCTGGATGGACGATTCACGTGCACCTCAAAGAAGGGGTAATAGCTGCGCAGCAACCGACAGGCGGTGTCGACGTCGCCGCTCTGCACATAGCAGTCCGCCAAGATGTGCAAACTTCGGTAATCCGGCACCAAATCATAGAGCCGCTCCGCGTAGAAGATCGCATTTTGATACAAATACCCCCGAAGACTGTCGGCAATCACTTTTTCGAGAAGTAGAGGCAACTTTGCGATATCGGCGCCGCTAAGTGACTCAGGGGGCGGATTTGACAAAGGAGAAGAATTACAGGGCATTTCGTGAAATAGCTTAGATTTGCCATTCTCTTGTTGATTTGATTGTTGCATCAACATGATTTCAGGGTCACGTGGCGTGCGAGACACCGTTGGGAATGTTGAAGCAAAGGCATCTGTGTGGTTGGTTGGTTTGTAGTCGCGTGAAAAACGTGACATAGAAATTTTGTCGTTTATTTAGTTTTGCAGAACTAAACGAGTTTTCTAATGATAAATGGTGATGAAAACAGTATTTTATCCTTGTTTTACAAGCCCCTTTGCCAAGATGGAGATCGTAAGGAAAATAGGTGTGTGTTAAAAAAAAGATTCCATATAAAACTGAAGCTTAGTGGAAAACTTCGGATGTGGAAGAATTTGCTGCGTTAAGAACTTTGTTATAATCTTCTTCTTTATCCCATTCTAGATGGACACCAATAAAAAGAGAATCAGGCAAAAATGACAAATTTCTCTTATTCACATTATCTATATAAAAGCTAAATCCACGTGTCCGCTTATTTATCTATTGTATGAGTTACTTTCTTTAGATGATACGTATATACTGGAAAAAACTTTAGCTCTACATTAAGAAGAGCAAAAATGGTGGAAATGTTTCTCTTTCTTCTTTCTGACCCTTCCATTTATAGTGTCATTTTTTAAAGTCTGAAGTTGAACTTAAGAGGCACGGACAAAACGAGTGTGTGTGAAGGGGGGTGGCACAACGCATCAATCTAAATACTTATAATAATAATGAGTGATAAGGCCCATATTTGAGAGCAGAATATGGAAGCAAAATAAGATTAAGACTCTACTCTAGGAGCAATATAATGCATAAGCTGACTATCTATGCAACCATTTATGCTGTCAGAGTATCTCAGCCATGTGGCTTTGGTTATCTGCGCGATCTGTACCATCAATGACGTTATTCGTCCGATTTTCCACACGGGTGATTTCAGAGTAGCCTTGAGTGTTGCGCACATGATAGAGAACGTTTGCGTTGTTAAACATGCCATCCTTCAACGATACCAATAAAAACTGTGAAGTAGGAAAGTAAAGCTGGAGCATGCGTCCAATATTCTGGGTATGACTCGGGTCCAGAGCAGCGTCGACCTCGTCTAGGATGTAAATCGGTGCTGGACGGACACGCAGAATAGCCAAGATCAAACACAAAGCCAGAAGGGAGCGCTGCCCGCCGCTGAGCTCAGACAGGGAGGCCTTTACTTTTCCGTTGAAAAGCACCCGAACCGCTAGTCCGCTGAGGTGCTGATGCTCGTCTCGCTCTTCTACCAGCTCAGCGGCTGCACCAGGCAGGCAGGTTGAAAATAGTTTTCCGAATATACTGCTCACGACCCCCACCATGCGGTCGAGGGCTTGCCATTTTCTAACCTCAATCCCGCGGATGCACTGCTGGATCGCCTCCTTGTCTTCGCCGAGCGCAACACGTTGCTTGGCAAGCTCGTCGTACTCCTTTTTCCGCTCTTCATACAGAATCGTCGCCTTCTTGTTCATACGACGCGACATTACCGCGGTCTGAGCTTCTGCCTCACGCAGCTCTTGGAGTGTCGTCTGCGTACGCGCGGCGTCGTTGAAGTAAAAAGGGCCGCTCGGGTCGCCAAACAGGTGGCGCTCTTGCGCGAGCCAGTCATGGCGTCTCTCCTGTTCTCGCACCCATCGATGTAGCTCCTCAATCGTCTTATTAAGCTCCCTTAACTCGATTTCAGTGTTTTTCACGGTGTTTTCAAGCGAATGTCGTCGCTCGGTGAGCCCTGTGATTGCTGCTTGTGTCTCCTCAATTTCCTTCTCTACTTGCATATGCTGGGCTTCGCACTGTTTACACTGCTTCTGCACCATGTCCAGTTCCCCCTCCGTTTGTTTAAACTGTGTTTGTAAGACGACACGATCACGCTGTTGTTGAGCCAACTCTTCTTCAACTTCGCGTGTTTTGGTGGCAAGATCCATGGCCTGTTGTTCAATATCTGCTTCCAGCCGTTCAAACGCGCTTGCATTCTCTTCTTCTTGTTTGCAAAGCTTCGCCAGGGTGCGCTCCGCGGCGCCCATTTGGCTCTGCAGTTCCTTACGCGAGTGATCTGGGTCGATAGCAGCCTCCGCCTCGATCTGCCGCTTGCGTTCCACCAACTCACAACGCTCGTTCTCGGCCGACAACAGAGCCTTCCGCTCAGAGGTTAGCTGAGCCTCCACTTCGTCAATACTGCCTTTAGAGCTGTCTTGGACGAGACAAAGTCGTTGCCTGACCACCTCAACCGCTTCCTCTGCGTTTCGATGATCTGTCAGGACGTTTTTCTGCCGTTCTAGCTCACTTCGTACTGCATAATATTCCTGCTCCATCTCGCATAACTGCCTGCGCATGGCTTGCAGAGGCGCCTTACGTTCCCTGTACGTTTTGAGCTCGGTAAACACATCACGCAAGTGGTTGATAGACCCACCTGTAATGAGACCGTTGGGTTCAGCCACCTCACCATCCAGTGACACTGCTTTGAACTTAACGGACGTGTTGTAAGCAAGCTCTTGAGCAAGACTTAAACTAGAGCAGACAAGAAAGTTCCCAAATGTGCTTTCCGCGAGACCCGCCATGCGATCAGGATCAACGCATTCTACTAGCTCTGATGCGAGACACACAAAGCCGTTCATGCTTGCGGTGATCCTTCGCGCCGCTTCCAAGCGCGCTGGATCGATTCCGGGGTTTTTTTGTAGTTGGTTCAAGGCTAAGAAAGAAGTTCTCTGACGTAGGTCGTGCTTGATGACATACTCAGCCACCGTGTCATCCTCGACGACGACTCGAAGAAGTTGGGTCTGAGCACCAACCATCAGCGCTAACTTGTGGGCTTCCTTTTTAGGGTAAATCAGTTCGCCCACGCGACCTAAAATTTTATCCTCCACATCCTTTGGGCACCCACGACGGTCAAACTCTAATTCGAAGCTACGGGATGTAGCAGCTTCGCGCTGAAACGAGTCGTAGGCTTCCTGAAACTCAATCTTTGCCTTACTAATAGCGTCCTCAAGCGTGACAAGACGCCTTTCCTTCAGGGCTAGAGGAGCATAAAGCTTTGAGGTCGCATCAAGCTTCGCCTGCGCCCGCCCTAGCTCGTTTTTTAGGTGCAGGAGCTGTCCAGACTGCTGAGAGTGGCGTTGTTGTGCGTTTTGGAGTTGAGAGGTCAGTTGCGCAATACTTTCCTTGCTTCGTTGAATTCTGGAATCCAGACGGACAATCTGATTTTCGACTTGGCTGAGTTCCTCTGCAAGGGAAAGCCCAGAAGTTCCAGCACGAACACCAGACTGGACAAGCTGCAGCGCTACACGCAGCTTCTCCACCCTACTACGTTCCTGTGCAATGCTTTGAAGAAGTGTTTCGTGTTGCTTACGACGGTTCAGAAATTCTTCTTGTGCCCTCGCCTGTTTTTCCTTTTCCTGGCGCAGTCCCTTTAGTTGGCCCTCCAGTTGCTTGAGCATCTTGGTGCATGAATCGATCTGGCTCTGGTAGCGACTAGAGATTTTTTTCAGTTCGCCTTCCTTTTCGTGTAGCGTAACCATGGCGTCAGATGGGGAGAGAATGCTTTCCTGCAGACGCATCAGTTGGCGTGTCAGCTCGTCTTCCTGCTGGGGGATTGCTTCGAGCTGTTCCTTCGCGTGGGCGGAAGCCTCTTTCCGGCGATCCATCGATTCCTGCTTCTCCTGCAGTAGTCTACTACGCTCGCAGAACTCAAACGCAACTTGAAAACGCCTTTTCGTGTTCAAATTTTCGCTGGCCTTGAGGAAGCGGTTATATTCCTCTTGGTCTGCCCTCATGGCCTCCAACATGGGTCCAATCTGCGTCTCCATGTTCTGGTCAATTTCCAACATCTTCTTTTCTTTATTCCGTATGAGTGTCTCAGCGACGCGGCGGCGGTGATCAAACGCCTTTGTACCGACAGCCTCCTCAATCAATGAAAGCAATACTTGTGAGCGCATGTCGATGAGCTTGTGCACTGTTCCTTGCAACACCATAAAGTGTGGGTTATCCACATTGAGACTGGTGCTTTCAAAGAAACGTTTCACCTTGCTCTGCATGGAGACAGCGTTGTTAAAGAAGAATTGCTGTTTGCCGCCGATTTTAATCTGCCGTCCAACTGTAATGATCGGATAGTCCTCGCAGCTGTACCCTGGAGGCGCGGTTGCAGGGTCGTCGTTGATGAACTCGATGGTGACGCGCGCGGCGTGAACACCTGTGGTACCTGCACGAAAAATAAGCTCTCGAGGATCCTCGGCCCGCACACGTTTGAGGTTTGTAATGCCCATCACGAAACAAATAGCATCGAAGATATTCGACTTACCACTCCCATTAAGACCAGTGATGGCGTTGAAGTGAGGACTGAGGTCGGCAAGCTCCTTACGGTGGGCATACGATTTGAACCCATCGATCACGATAGACTTCACACGCATCTTCCTTGCCCTTTTATGTGGACCTGACAGCGTGACTTTACCTATCAAGCATATGTGTTTTGGAATCAGAGAAATAGGTTAACAGAAGACATAAGTAGAATACATAATTAAAGGATGCAATATGAAATCTAATGGACACTTTGCATGTTACACTTTAGTGAAGTTACAATTTTAAGCATTTATTGCCGTCGCGTACAAATAAGTGAGAATTAAAAAAATACAAAGGTCCACACATATGTACTTTCCTTAAAGCTTTTGTGTCTAACAAAGAGTCTTCTCAAGAGTAAATTTCACGCAACTATTTCTACCATATTTTGAATTATTATCAACCTTTTAAAATGCAAAAAGGAAAAGGCCAACTAGCGCAAGGCGCTTTTATCCCAAATAATAATAATAATAATATGTAAGATTATAATTAAGGAAGGAAACTAATGATAAAAAACGTTAAAGTTGTTTTTCATTAATAAATAAAGGAAAATGTACAAATGTATGAGGATAATAGCTGGCCTTCTTTCAACTCAAGAAATATTAATGTTTTCTCCAAACATATAGAAAATACAGCAAGCGTTAAACAAACAATCCTAGCAATTGAATAGTTAAGATTCAGATAGATTACCTAAACATTACTTTCAAAATCCACAAAACAGCAATTTTATAAGTCTGTGGAGTGTATTTTAGCTCAAACTTATGCTTTTCTAGTCAAGGGCTAATTGGAACTAGATATTGGATATATATATGCAATGCAAAGGAATGCAGTGAAAAAGATTATTATTCGAAAAAGCTCCAAGCTTTAAAGTGCGGTTAATAAAGTACGTGTTCCCTTTTTGGAGGAAGCGATACCCAACCGTATTGAAAGTAGCCCATAAGCGGTATTACTAAGTTAATCGGCTGAGCGTGTGCCCAGAGCCGCGTACAATCATTACGCACCTGTCTTCGGACCGCGTTAATAAGAATTATGGACCAATATTAGGCTTGATTATTGCAAATTCTATACCTCGACTCGATTTGTTTCATGCGCACTCATTTACTTTTACAATAATGCAGTAAAAAAGCTCCCCAAAGGAAAGGACGTTCGTGAGAGGAAAAAGTCGACGATGAATACAATAAATTGAGTTACATTGAGGTGTCCAGGGCTCTCGTCTATGCTTCCATAGCGTTAGCGCAAGGCTTGGACGGTCTTGGAGTATTTAAAACGGCATTTTGAGACCATATAGGCGCTAACAGTGTCCAGTCGGAGTATTTCCTTTGCTCGGATAGCTTTTAAGGAGTCTCTGTCGAATGCCCTAGGAGTACCAGTTACCATGCCTCCACCAATGGTGAGAGGGTGTGCAGGCGTTTGGCTTCGCCAATAAATGGCTACTAGTCCACGGCATCACGAAGAGGTGTCGGGTATATAGCGCGGAAGACCATGAATGATTCTTCTCCCTGTTATTCTGTTTAATAAATATATGTTTTTTAAATGTTCTACAATATTATTTAGACTCGTTGCTACTGTGCCCTGAATCTTTTGCTACTTCAGATAGAAAAGGGTGATCCAACAGCTCCTCTGCAGAAGGTCTCTTTTGTGGGTCTCGTTCAAAGCACTTCTCTAATAAGTCCATCAACTTCGGATCAATATCCCTTGGAATCTCCGTCGGCAGGCCAGTAGAGTTCGCGATCTTATATACGGCAGCCCACACAGAGTTGCACTCCGGCCACGGTGGCCTTCCTGTAAGCATTTCGACAATTGTGCAGCCGATGGACCAGATATCGCTCTTGGTGCCATAGCCGCGCGCGTCGCACTTGATCACCTCCGGCGCCATCCAATACGGTGTCCCTACCATTGTCGCACAGCCATCCTTCGAGTTATACACGTCGATGTGTTTGCTACAGCCAAAGTCAGCGAGCTTGACGATCCCCTCTAAGGACACCAGTACATTGTCGCCCTTGATGTCGCGATGAACGATGCCACAACTATGCAAGTAGCGCACCCCGCAGACCATTTGATATGTCCACTGCCGCATTGTCTCGTAAGGAATTTTCTTAAACTTCTTCACAAAGCTGCTTAGCGACCCGCCGCTGACAAACTCCATGAAGATGTTTAGCGTGTTGTCACTTTTGTTCTTTAAGCACCCGTAGTACTGAACAATGTTCGTGTGGTACAATCGCTTCATGAGGGATATTTCATTCTTCAGCTTGAGAAGATCTTCCCGAGTAGCCGCGTTGCCAAGATGAACGACTTTACAACACACAGTCCGCCCACAGGTAAGGAGCGCTTCATAAACACTGCCGAAGCTCCCCTTGCCGATAATTTTCACCTGCCTCCAGTCTTGAAGATTTTTATCGGAAAGGGGCCTTTGTCTGAGAGGCAGCCCGAAGGACATGGACGTAATGGAGACCCCCAAATTCATGTGGTCGCTATTACTTACAGAAGAACATGGAGCAAATACAGGCAACGAAATATCCTGGGGAAACACGAGGGGCGAGTGCGGTCTTGACTCACGAGAAGTATGCTCCTGCTTCAAGTCTTTCACACCCACCTCTTTTTTTATTTCCTCGGTATTGCGATACACAATCGTGTCTTCCTCTGCCTTTGTGTTTTGTCGTTGCACCTTATCCTGCACTGCATTCTGTTCATCAGAAATAGATATAATCGCTTTGGTGTTGCTATCAGGGTTCACATTGTTTGGTGCAGTTTTATTAAAATCATTATTACTATCGATACCAAAATTTCTATCTGTTTTCTTTGTCCCGGCACTGACGAGCTGACGCAACTGCTTTGGGTTAAGCGGCTCAAGAGCGATTTCTAGATTGTCCGGCGGCTCCGGCTTCTCAAAGTCCTCCGCATCAGAATCCTGAAAAGCTTCATATTGTTGACTAATATTACCGTTTATGAAATTTGCGAAAATCCATTTGCCATCGGGATGCCACTCGCGGCCTTCACCATGTCTTAAACCGTTTTTGAAGTACCCGATATACTTAACCCCGTCTGCCCACATGTACATACCGCTGCCGTTGAACATACCCATCATAAAGTCGCCTTCATAGACATCTCCGTTTTTTTTAGTAAGAATACCCTTTCCTTCCTTTTCATTACGCACAAATTCCCCTTCGTACACGTTCCCGTTGGATTCCACAAGTTTACCGCGACCGTGCCGCATTCCACCAAGCCATTCACCCTCATACACGTCGTTATTCGCGTAAACCATCCGACCCATGCCCTCCCGCATGTCCTCTACCCAGTCTCCCTTGTAAACACTTCCGGCATCCTTCATCTCACCAAAGCCGCACATATACCCGTGCACGTATTGCCCTTCGTAGTAATCACCGTCGGCCCAGGTGTACATTCCACTCCCATGCATGCGACCGCAGAGCCACTCCCCTTCGTAGGTGTCACCACACTTCCACTCAGCCTTGCCGATGCCCGAGAGGTTGCCGTCGACGTCGAGCGTCCCCGTATACACGCTGTCAGGGAAGAAGACCCGCTCAATGCCAGGGCGAAGCGAGATGTCATTGTAGGAGATGAACCCCCTTTCTGTGGATGGGGCTGGCGGTGAACTTCCCTCAACCTTTTCTCCCCCCGCTGAGGCGGGGTGGGCGGGATCCACTTTGGTGCCCACGATGGCGTCGGATCGTCGGTTGACGACCCGTTCGTTGAGCGAAGCCGTGATGTTGGGTTCAGCGGATCGATCAATGGCCGGGTCGGCAAGCGCGTGGGGGGGCGGCGGGGCCATTTGTGCCTGCTCCGCATTCCCACCCTTCCCCTCCCGCAGTGAAGGCGACACCTCCGCGGATTTCAGCGGACAGGCTGGTGGGTTTGTTGGAGAACCGCCGTGTGTGTAAGGTGAGGTCTCCTGTGTGCAATGTGCGCCACATATCGACATACCACTTTTTTTAAGCAACAAGAGCGAATTTATATGCTTCTTGAACGTACTCTATTTAGAAAGAGGATTTGATTTTGACGAATGTAGCTGCTTATATGCCCTATTTTTTCCGGATACGAATGTCGTAATTTACTTGAAAAAAAGTTATGACTTAATAACTTTTAAACACTTGTTTTTCGCATCACCAAAGCTAGCTATTGTACGATTTTTTGTTGAATTTTCAAGTAAACTTTCTGGATAAATCAAAAAGTAGAAAAAAAGTTTTAAAATGAATATGATATTAGTATATTGAATTCTGAAGAACAATATATTTAGATATATATGTGTGTATATATGGATATATAATAAATTCAAGATCGAAAGCGCGTGTGTATGTGTGTATTGAACTAGAACCCAATAAAATATTTTCCCTTTTTACTCCACAATATTTGACAAACCTATGCGTAGTTTTTATTGTTTTACAACAAATTTCCCTAATAACAGAAGAGAAGAAAGAGGAAAGATGTCATTCAAATCTACGGTAAGAATGAAACGAAGACCATAAAAGCAACTGATGGAGTAAAGAATTAAAAATAAAATTCTCTTTCCTTGCTCCATTTCGTTCTATCATGATTTAAAAGTGAAAACAATGAACTTCAGACTACTTTTATATTGATATGGTGAAGTATAAACATCATTCTACATCGCATGGGATGTATTTCGTTTTTTTTTAGCGAGAACTTTATGTCATCAACATTGTAAGAATACGAAGATTCACAACCAAAGTGGCCATATAAGGGATATAACATTCCATTTTGTTTGTACCCATCATTTTTTATTCATGGAAAGACTAACATATTCTTGAATACCTAGAAAATAAAACTATTCTGTACTTTATTTATTTTTGCTCACCATATAATCACATTCTTATTTTCTTCTAAAAAAGTAATCTAGTTACAGTATCCACAGAGCAACGCATTTGCTCGTCATACGACGGAAAGTGAAAGGTAAAACCCAACACACAATGTAATATAGACTGGTAATCTGAAGAATTCCTAACAAAAAATGAAAAGATTAACGATTGTGGAAATTCGTCTGTTGTCGAGGATATAAAATACTGCTTCCTACTTTCTCATCGAAACAATGGTGAAACAGTAATCTTCACAAAAGAACTGGAAGAATATGCGAGTGTATAAAAGCTGTTGATTCTTTCCACCAATAAAAATGCATTTCTATAGGGAAAATGAATATCGGCCGTCACAACAAAAAAAACAATATTGTTTTGAATGTGTAATAGTATCAGTGACTAAATTTATCATATATCTTGCATTTTCCCGGAAAAAAGAAAGTAGAATAAAGGTGTATAAGTGTATTTGCTTGGGACGATAGAACCACGATCGACATTACCAAAACCGAAGATAAGCAATCAACTGAAAATAAAATACCTTTCTTCGATTTAGAAAAAAAACACACACTAACATTTCTGTATTATTTTTCGCCCTTTTCTACTTGATTACATTATATAGATTTAAATACTGCTTAATTACATCAAAGTATAACCTATTTACATGAATTGATATTCTGTATTCCCACGAAAAAAAACACTACGCCCCATATGTGGCCTGGTTTGTGGTCAAATACTTATCCGTAGCCATGTGACGGACTTCACGAAGCTGGGAAGTATAGCCAGCGCGCTGCGGGGCTACATCTCTGAGCCCAAAAGAAGCCTGCATGGTAGTTGTATAAAAAGAAGGATCAACATGGTGTACACAAACCTGTGGGTGTTCATACTGTCTAACATGTGTAAGGGGATCTTTTTTGTAGTAGTTACGCTTGTATTCGCTGATAAAGTCACGATTCTCATCGTTAGAGAGATTTCCTTGTGCTCGCCGAGAACTACCAGTACCTTTTTCACTATGTTGTGTCCTCACCAAAGATAGATCAGGGGTCGTAAAGGACTCCTTCATAGTTGTTTTATAAAAATCCTTGGGTACTGAGGGCTTAAGGGAAAGAGCAGTGGGGACCTTCTTTGGTGGGTCTGAAGAAGGATTGTCATTCGAAAGAAGTTTTGTAGAGGTTGATTGGGGATAAGAAACAGGACCCAAAGAAGAAAGGGTACTAATTAGACTCCCAGAAAGACGAGATGCACGAGCGTTAGTAGCTGTAGAACGAGAGGAAGGTAAGGGTCGGGTCGACCTAGAAGTGGAAAGAGGATTTAACGGACGGGATTTCTTAGCTGAAGAGGAATCCAAGAGAGAGATTCGATCATGAATAGGCAAAGAAGGCACAACAGCTGCCAAAGAAAAATTATCCTTAGAC